ACGGGAGATTACGCTTCAAATTTACGATTGTTAAGGAGACAATGCAACGTGAAGCCTTCTTTTTTCCGAAGTATCGAGGGGGTCTCAAACAAGTGTGAGAACCCCCACAATGCAATAGCGGCTCATCCCCTATTCTAAACAAAGTGCTTGACAAGAGGCTGAATTTACCAGAGTAATGATACAATTGTTGCTAAAGATACACGGGAAATATCAACTTGAAACTATGGTTGAATTAAGAACGGTCCTTACATTTCACAGGGACAAAAAAGTGATGTGAAACAAACTACTACTACAGTACTCGACTAAAATCATGTACATTACACATCTGTAAATACTAAAAAGCAAGTGCATTTATAGCTCCAGAGATGAATGTATTTTATTTTACTTTATTATACAGCTCTTCACAGCAGCAGTAGAGCGCTCCATTGATTTGAATGTAATTTCAAAACGTTCTACTGGTCATTATTTCTTGATAACTGACCCGCTCAAAACAATAATGACCGCTGCCCATGGCAATGCACCCTCTGCTTGTAATTCAGATGTGTAGATTACTCCGCAAGTAATTCCGGCCACTTCATCACTAGCCACGCTCAATAAACGAAAATACCAATCAATCAACACATTTAAATTTTAATCTGAGAATACATTATACATATACATTCTTAATACACATGCACAGGGGTTTTCAGAAGTATTTGTTAAGGTTTTCATGACAAAAATACTGTTTTAAAACAAGAAAAAGCGATTGTGAAAAACCTGGAAGTAGATTCTGGGACATTTTAGGACACATTTGCTGATGTTCAGAATTTGTTGTTCAGTTTTCATGCAGTTCGAGAGAGTTCTAGTTTGGAAGTTGCTAGCCTAACTGTTACTCGCATAGCCACAGGAAAGCCTTTGGGAACTATTTTATCTTTTGTCATTAAATAAACCTTTCGGCGTCGGGGTCGGCTTTTCCCTGTCGGTACTTCTTTTCCAATAATGACCCGTGTAATACACATTATTCCTTACTTATTCCATTTTACTAACATATGATCTCATTATTTTTATAACCAAGTGCGATTATAGCTCGAGAATTTATTGTATTTTATTTTCTTCCATTTGATTGTTGTATTGTCTTTTAATTCTATTGTCTATTATCTTAAATGATAGACTCTATTTGAAGTGTGCAATCTGAGTGTTCTTATTTCCTTCTTTCTCTGCTGTAATGTGCGCAACGATGACACTGAAATTTCCCCACAGTGGGACGAATAAGGAGTATCTTATCTTATCACTGTAAACCCTAACTTTGATCTTACTTCAGATATCAAAGTTATTTTAAATAGTTTTTTCCCAGTAAGTAAATATTACTTGTTTATTTTTAAGGGCCTTCTTTGAATTGAGCTGCCTCTGTTCAAGTCGGCCGAACTTTTGATATTTTGAACCTATACAGTGTTCAAAATGTCAGGTATCTTGAAAGGTAGGGCGGTACGGTGACTGAGTGGGTAGCACCTTCACTTCTCGGGAAGAAGATTCTGAGTTCGAATCCCAGTCGGAGCAGGACCTTACTGATTTGTGTATACGTTGAAATCACTGACAAACTTTACTGCAATCAATTGGTTTTTTCAAGGAATCTACACATGGAGTTCACTTGGCAACATCAAGTTAAGAATTTACTCGAGGAATTGAAGTGAATTTAATGTGCCATTTATTTCCAAGTTTTTTTCAAGTATACTTTGCTTGTCAGGGTTTACAGTGTACATTAATTTATTTTCATCACCTTTATTATAGTCCAATGCTCATAGCACCTGGTCTTTTGGCACTTGGTCTTTTAGCGGGGGCTTCAGGCAAAGTGGGGTTAAGTGAAGTTCTAGGGAGCAGACAGAGCAGGTCTTGTGGGGGGGATTGAACCCACGATGCTCTACCGACTGAGCCACTGTCACCACTCACAAACTGATTGTTTTTTTTATTTTTATATATAAATAAATTCTAAGGACGCATTAGTGGGAAGTGATGTCGCTGCACACGTGTCCTGGATGGATTCAGGAGCTTGTTGGGAATTTCTGCTATCTCTGTGCCTAAAGGGTTCCTTTAAACTAAGTTTGGACATGTTGCAAAGTATTGTATTCCCATGATATTTCCAACGTGCACCTGAACAAGTCACAAATACACTGATCATTATTTTACCAAATGTTTACACCAAGCTGGGTATGAAGGACTAATATTCTTCAATGTTCAATAATAAAACAAAATATTTATCTACATGAGACTCCCACATGCTGTAAATATAACGACATAAAGTAAATACGTACACGATACATACTGTACATCCGTTTTCTTCCCCTTTATCCATTTCTGGGTTAGGGGGGTAGCAGTCAGAGCTACACCCAGTACACTTAGCACCAGCCCCTCACTGATCCTCCTGCAGATGGTGAGTCCACAGGAGCTGAGATCTTTCAGTGGGGCTTCAGGCAAAGTGGGGTTAAGTGTCTTGCCCAAGGACACAACGACAGCAGTCATCAGTGGGAGTCATGATGTAGGTCTTACGGTGGGCTCAAACCCATGACCTCCAGGCTCAAAGGCCAATGCTCTACCAACTAAGCCACTGTCGCCCCTACATATTGTACATACATATTTACATATAAATACTGCAACATACTTGAATGAGTGTCAATTTCTGCAACAAAAAAAGTGAAGTGAAATTGTAAAAAAATATTGTTCAAAGTAAAAAGTGTCTCTGTACGCATGAATTGAGCTTCAGTTTCCAAAAGAAGCCCCGGGTCTGACCTGGCCACTGCTGATGGACTCGACAAAGATCGACTGTTGCTTCAACCAATTACAGCCACAGATCTGTCATCGCACTCACCTGAAGATGAAGCCAGAGAGGGTGAGACAATGTGTCTGTGACCAGGCCAAAGAGAGGATGGATGACACAGCGTCAGTCAGTCCTTCACACCTGAGGTAGCCACTACACACCACTCATCCCTGGCATACATCCACAGCAAACACAGGGGATAGGTCAGCCAAAGGCCACAGGGTCCTAGCACAAGGCAAAGCTCCCCTCAATCCCTTTCTACCCAAACAGACCCGTGCACTGCCGCCATTCTCCTCCATATGCCCCCCTGACCTCATTATTAAAACAGAGCAAATCTCCTGATTGGTTGCAGCGGCTCAGAAACAAATGATGCCAAATACCTGACTTCTCTGTGGCCTTTTTGCAGGACGGCCTCATACAACTGCTTTGCCTCCTCACTTCAAAAACATTCTCTATTCGTTGTGGGGATTGAAGTAAAGGTGCATGTTAAGGTCACAGAATTGAAAGTATATCAAAAGTTCATAGTTTACTGAACAGAGGTGGCACTTCCAGGGCCCTAATGCTGAGGCTGGCAGCTGACTGTGCCAATGTAGCATCATGTGTTTAAAGATCCATGCACTTTAACATGCGTCATTCTTTCACTTTTATTTCATACATTTTCTGTGCGTGATGTAAACGTGTTGTCAGTCTTTAGAGCGTCTTTTCTTGATGGGTTAAGCTTTAGGTTCTTTGCTGTGTCATTTTATCATTCCTGCCTGCAAATGCAAACTACATGCACCCCGCCATGCACACTCATACAAGCACCAGAAGAGTTTGAGCCAATTCATTTGTTTAAAAATGTCACCATTGCAACAGCAACGGGCATAGAATGATTCTACATTAAGTTAATATTCTTGATTTTGCCCCAGTACTTCTGTTTTCAGTAATATATAACCACAATACTATTTTTATTATTATCATTATTATCATTATTATTTTCAATTTGTTCTTGCTTTTTTCTTATTCTATTTGCCTAGTGTAAACGTGTTGATATCTCAACTTAAGTCCCAGGGATATTAAATTCCCACAAATAATGATCTGATATGAATGGCCTTAAATGTAAATGTAAATTGAAACTGCTTCCTGTTTATTGCCTCTTTCACAGTAAACATGAAGACATGGTGTGAACACATGGTTCACAAAAGCAGCTGAAGTCTTCTGACTGATGGAGAGCTGCAGCTCTTGGTGCATGTGGACTTCTGTGACGCAAAGAACAGAACATACCACAGTGTGATGATAAAAAGGAGGCATTGCCACAGCACTGACATATCAACAGAGATTAAACTAGTTTATTTATTTTCAAAGAGGAAAAGAATTTACAAAACAAAATGCAGTCATATTTTACACTAGTGATTATTATTAAATTTTTACAACCATTCAGTCTGCATAACATAAAGAAATATTTCTACATCTTTGTTTCTTTCATATTTTTGGTACTCTGATTTATACATACAAATAACAAATACAGGAACCTTTTCACAATGCATATAATCTGTGGGCAGGAAAAAAAATCTTTCAAGCAATGTGTTTGTCTTTGTCAGTGTGTGTGTCAGTGTGTGTACATGTTCTCAACACCCCAGACCTATAGCACATCCGAAACTAACGCAGAGCTGCCACTTCATGGATCATCAGGACAAACTGCCCCTGGCAGCCTGACCGCCTCATCCACTGCCTTGTACCTTCCTGGTAATAAGATGCTGAGCAAGTTTCATTTTTTAATTAATTAAAAAAGTCTTAAATGTATTGTATTTCATACAATTTGTACAAATATACGTATTTAATGTCTGCCCCGCACCAGAGGAACAAAGAATGGAGCTGGGAATCCTGCTACACAGGTGTGAGGTGGGGCTGAATTGAAAATTAAAATGTTGGTCTTGTTTGATGGTAAATGGCTTTTTGTACATAAATGAAGGGGACAGCCTTCAGTGTCAAGGAAATGTCTCTCTCTTGCTGAATGTCCCCAGAGGTCAGTGAGCCACAGTCCAGTCTGCAAAGCCTTCACATTGCACTGTTATACAAAAATAAAACACAACTCATAAAAAAGAGTCTGTCTGTTGTCATCCCATCTTCGATGAGCGTTGAGACCGTGAGTTTTGTTTGGGTCAGTAAGCTGTCTTTGTGTCTGTTAGAAGCAGAGGTACCATTGGGAGTGCTGGAGTTCAGTACGGGGCTAGCCCATGGCTGTGACCATACTGGAGTGGTGTGGGAACGGGAGGCTGGAAGAGGGGTGCATGGGGGTGGGCGTGGTCAACATGTGGCCGGAGTGCGAAAAGGGGGGGAACGACGACATGTGGCGGGACAGGGCCGCGGGGCTGAAGGAGCTGCTCTTGTCCATCAGGCTTTTAGAGAAGTCCTCCATGTTGTCTTGACACTTTTTACTCTTCTTGGACTTGCTAGACATCTTCCTGTTTCTCGTCTGGATGCCTTCCTTTTTCATGGTCAGAGGTCTGTTGATCTGCTCTCAAAAAAGACAGAAAGATGGCAGATTAGTATTTTCGTCATGTCAAAGAACGCTTTTAATTCATTCTCATTGTGAAAATGTAAAATATACAATGCACAATTCATTATTTGGGAGAGAGAAATGCTGACCTTCTATTACTTGCATTGTAAAACATGATCATGCTATTTTAAGAGCCACGTTTACTCGATGATTCATTCATGCAAAGTTCAGATTCACACCACTGTGGTAGCACTTTGTGTGCTTTTGCAGAAGACCACTTTAATGTGTGTGAGATTAAATTTAATGAGATTATGACTTCTGATCTACACCAACACATTGTGAAACGGAGAACCACAAAAGTGTAACTGTGGCAATGCTTTTGTGTACAGCCATGTGCATCCTCTCCAAACTTCACATCTTCAAATATATTATGCACACAGAATATGTTTGAAATGCCATTCAAAATACAAAACATACTGTGTATTCCAAAACTATTTTGTGGCAGCATGACACAACGGGCAAAAAACACATATATTTGTTTATTGATGGAAATTTGTAAAAAATAAAAATGAATGCATTTATTTAGTTTATAAAACATTGAATTGAAGGAAGGGCTGGGATCTTGTCTAAACAAGTTGTTTTATGTCAATAAATAATCAACATTTAAATGTATAAGTATAAATCATTTCATGCAGTCCTGCAGGCTATGTTAACCCTTTTCTTCTCTGAAGGGAACACCCAGGACTTCCACTACACGCCTCACAGAGAGAAGAATCTTTAGCAGCATTACTTACATTGTGGAGCTTGTAGTACAGGCCGCAGGCATTACACACCGGGTCTCCGTTGGCGTTCCTCCGCCACAGCGTCGTAGTGGTGGTCTGACAGTTTGCGCAGGACGTCCCTGCTCGCCTGGCAGCGGACTGAACACAAAACACCACATCGTCACATCACCAGGACACACAATCACATCGATAATAAGCAGAAGGTGTCATTAAAATGTCTTGACCAAATAATGCTTTGTAATGTTATTATAACTGAAATAGAAAACACAGTGGAAGCATGACAAAATAGTATTGATTAATTAATGTACCGAAAATAGAACTACCAAATTGCACTTTTTTACTGCACTCCTTTGTTGACTTGACGTTGATGTTATTATCTTGAAATAATCAATAGACAAGTGGGCAGATAGAGAACGACATTATCTTAAAAGAGATTTCCATTCGTTCACGTGTCTTAACGTTGCCAATCACGTGCACAACTAAAACCACGTATTCGGTGCGCGTGTGCGTGTGTGAATTCCATTTGGCCCGTGTCTACAGAACCTGAATAAACGCGCGTCTTCAGTTCATCCAATCTGCAGGATGAGGTCAAGTGCGTCACGGCCATTAGTCCAGCGTTTTAAGTGTATGGAGCGCTAAACAAACGCAGGTTGCGCCTGTGAGCTGCTGCCCCAGACTCCAGCACAGTCAGATGTTATGACTGGGGAAGCGGCCCGTGTTGTTAGAAGCGACTTATCTGCACTGCTCAGATATCCGGCAACCCTTTCCGGGAAAGTCGGCTTTTCACATTACAGAGAAGCATGGAGTAGGACTCGTGGGCTTATGGATACTCGGGTTTTTGTTTGGTTTATTAGCCTCCTTTATTTAGGAAGGTATTCACTTTGTGCGTATAGGACAACATATATTAAAAGTAGTCAAAATTATAAATAATTACGTAATATGCAAGAAAAATCTAACTCCCTTTTTACATTTAGTGTTTTCCTTTTCAATAAAGAAGACAGAGAAACAGAGATGAAAAGCCTATTGTACTAAACCAGGCTAAACCAATGCGTATTAATGCCTAAAGATGGTGAGATATTTGGTGGGAACATACCAGTCTCCGCTTGGGTTTAATCAGCGGACGATTTTGCCCGTTCATTTTGTGATAGAGGCCACAGGCATTGCAGAGATAGTGTCCTGTCCCGTCCCGCCTCCATAACGGAGTCGACGTGGCTCCGCAATTGACGCACTCTCTACCTTCTGCAATACACACACATTCACCACGGTTAGTGCACAGTGACACGCATTCGTTTGTATAAGACAACATTATAAGATAAACATAGGCGCACACACATACAACAAAGCATCGTTTTTTATAGAATGCAAATGTGGACTTTCCAAACATGCAAACATCATTCGGTAACAGTGAGACCAAGCTTCAACGTGTGTTACAAAAAACAGCAACACAAAGATAATAGACCAACAACTATAATAATAATAGTAATAATAACAATAATAATAATATTTGTAATAATAATAATAATAATAATAATAACAATAATAATGAATGTAAATAATAATAAATGTAGTATAAGAGCCGGTGCTCTTGAATTGACTGCACCTGCAGTGACTTTGACAGACCCGTGAGTCGACATGGAAACGGTTGTACTGATTATTTTAAAGCAAAAAATATATGTATACACGTAGGGTTTTTGTGCAGTTTTACGTTTGCATTTCAAGCAGCACTTCCCCTTTTTCTGTCGATTACAGATTCATCAAATATGTCAAATATATATCATAATGTATGATGATATGTGTGTATGTATATTACATATATATGTATATATGAATGTATATATATATATATATATATATATATATATATATATATATATATATATATATATATATATATATATATGAATTGTTATCATTATTATAGTTATTTATTTATTTATTTTATGTATGTATATTTTTACATGTTTCCTGCATACACACGCACACACACCGGTATTTCACTAACGTTTTCCCCGTGAATGAACGAGCAACATCCGGGGCTGAGTAAACAAAGCAACTGTGGCGTGCACTGGTCTGACAGTAATAGGATTATGTTAAACATATAAACGAGGCGACACAGCCCAGAGAGCTGGCTTCCCAGAGAGCAGTCCATTATTATTATTATTATTGTTATTATTATTATTATTGTTATTATTATTATTATTGTTATTAGTATTATTATTATCATTGTTATTATTATTGACATCATCATCATTATTGGTGCCAGCTCTATAAATACTATTTGACTAGCTCGTTTTGGGGGATCTGAAAATCTGCGGAATAATGTTAAGTCAGAAGTGAATGTAATAAAGCGCACGCCTACCTGAACAGGACCTTGTTTTTGGTCTTGTTTTGGAACCATAACTAGAAGATGACCCACCTATCAGGCTACTTGGTGGGAAGAGGCCTGGGCCGTATTCGGGGACATAAGGTGGGTATGTGGCGATGGGGTGATGGGCAGAGGATGGGCCTCCTCCGATAGACACACTTCGGCTGTGAGCGGATTCCAGCTTCATGCTTTCTGCCAGGGAAACCTGGTACTTAATGCACTCTTTGTCCTCTTGACGGGAGCTGTTGGACCCTGAGAGGCCGGGGTCCGGGGAAACGTCTTTAGGCGGGGTCGGGGGAAACGTAAAGAGATGCGGACTCGAGTGGCCGTTGGACAGCGAGGATGAGGAGGCCGGGGGATAGACGGAGAGGCTGCCAGGGGAGCCGTGATGAAGAGGGTTCTTGGGGAAGGGGCTTAGGTTCCAAGGGGACGCGCTGTGATGTGGGGCGATGCCTTTACTCCCCTCCAGCCACGGTAGAGAACCGTGGAGTAACGAGGGTCGACACACCTGGCTACCTAAAGCAAACACAAACACACATTAGACCTGACAGAATAATGTAAAACACTGGTTTAAGATGGGTCAGCAATAGCGTGTGTTAGAAAACTAAACCCAATATTATAAATTCATCCCAATCAATAATGTATTGTTGGTCAAAAACACTTAAACACTTATCGGGAACATTTTAATTATACCCCGTGAATTGAGTTTAAGAACAAACTGCATATGTGCAAATAAGACTAAAGAAAAAAATGTCGTTATATGTCAATTTCAACAAATATCTAAACGTGTTATGAAACAGGGTTTACACGGGCCTATACAGGCTAAATGATGAAGAATTTCAGGCATGACATCAAAATTGGGTCAGATCATACACACAGAACTATTGTTTTTCCGTGGCTGTAATAAAAAGCACTGACCCCGTGACGCTGCGCAACTGATCTAGAGACGAATTACGCACGAACTAAATAGATAATGTGACCGTGATTAAATAAGGCCTCAGAGGCCGTTTACTTACTGTGTGGAGGAGGAGGGTACCTCTGTACCGCACGGACTGAGTTCCCATAATACGGTGAGACATGGTTGCCCTGTCCATCGATATTAAAGAGTACATCCACATCGTCAGCGAGCGGGTACTGCGAAGGGTCCATATATGAGTGACCAAGGCCGGGGTGATGTGAGCCGGGATGCTGTTCGTTTAATACCGCAGGATGATGGCTCATCCACCGGGGCTGGTCCGCGCTAACTTCCATTATGATGCTCTTAATTTAGTCTATGTTCATGCACGGCAGCTCTCTTTATGCAGTTCACAAGAAAGTTAGTCCAAAATCCGTTTGGTTAAATCCACAGATTCCGTGCGCGCTCCCAAAGACCTGCATGTGCAGAAAGAAAGAAAGTGTTAAATCTGAACTCTCCTTTCACATAAACACACTGAACCCATGGATGAAGTATCAAACATAGATATTTAAATATAGGACACATACCCAACATTACAAGCTCTGTGCGCTTGTCAATGAAACACGTCCAAAACGAAAGGTATAGTTGCCAAACTCGTTCCTATTTGAAAAGTGTGTCTGAGCTGAGCTCAACAAGTAAAACGTGCAGTTCGCTTCCAGTGGTCGGCTTCAGCGTGTTCAAATCACTGCTCAGACTTGTGTTGGTGCGCTGGAGTGGTCGCGTCCATTAGCTTCTGCTCTCAGTCCTGACTAAAGTTCTGCCTCTCTCGCCCCGTACTGCTCTCTCACTTCAAACCCCCCTCGCTCTCTCTCTTTTTTTTTTTTTTTTTTTTTTTTTTACAGTGAAGGCATTCTTTCAGGATGGCGCCAGGCAGCTCAATGCTCGCAGACAGCTGTGGCGCGACGCAACTTAAGGAGGGTCTGTCAGTGTCATCAGTTAAGGGGTGGGGCCTACCCTAATTGAATAGAGCTGCACCAGGAGAAGTTCCCATCTAAGGTAAGTTTATAGGCTATAATATATACATAAAAAGATGGGATTCTGCCTTATAAAAAACGCCAATCTTGCTCTTAGCTGAGTAAAATGATTAGAATATAACAAAGTTATTTGCTTCAGTATCTGGTGCAGGTAGCCAAGCCTGTTGCTCTCTCGGGGCTGGGCTTCGGCACACTTTCATTCTTAAAATTGTGACAGTGCGTCCTCTCGCGGTGACAGTCAAATTCAACAGATTTCCTCTCTCAGATGCACACTGATGTGCAGCATTTTTCTGCTCCCTATTCAATGGCCATTCAAAATGGCATGTATCATTAGTTATAAAAAAAATACTGCATTAAATGGAAGAGGATAACTCTCAAAGAGCCTGACCGTGTTTGACATGCCTGTGTTGTTTTGAGGTGGCCCGGTGACTTGGACTGATGGACGATGCATCTTTGCGCATGCGGAGAGGTTTCTACGCTCTGTTTAGCCTCAGATAGGATTGAATGTAATAAAGCGTGGAGATGGACTGCATTACCGACTCCACATGATGTGACGTAATGACAGTGTTGGGAAACGTACAAATCATTTAAAATATAATTGTGTCTCCATAAAAGCCAATGCGGTCCTCTCATCTCATGTAGTTGATACGAATGTGTAGATGTATTTTTCACACAGGCTCTTGATGCTTAAATAACCTGCTCGATTAATTCCCATTTTCCCAGCCCTATTTTGGAGGCAGTACAACATTTTAGAACATAACCATAATTCACCTTTTCATGATATTGAGAGCCTGCACGTAACAAACTGCATTTATTAGAGCCTACCCCCGGACGCTGCAAACAGATAAACTGCTGCTGCTATAACACTATAGTAGTCGTAGTATAGTAGTAGTAGTAATAGTAGTAGTAGTAGTAGTATAGTAGTATCATAGTATGTATATAAATAAACATTACTTACTGCTTACTTACTATAGTAGTAGTAGTAGTAGTAGTAGGCTTGGTGGAAGTCTTTAGGGATATTATAACATATGGAACTAAATAATAATAATAGGCCTACAATAATAACAATGATAATCGTCAACGTAAAATTGCATAGTCTATTGGCTCCAATAAATGTTAAATTTGGCGCGTTTTAAATATTCTTTTATCTTGTGATTTTGAAAGTTCAGAGCTTGTCTGTCACTCAATCTTCACCTCTCGTCTTTTCAAGAAAAGGTCATTTGAATCTACTCGGCTTCGTGGAACTGAACGAGGTCGTATACAGAGTGCCGCAAGTGCGATTTAAGCAAGTCCTTTAACGCTTTTGGTAAAAAGTCCAAATTACTCTAGATATAGTACTGTGCAATAGGCCTATTTAAAACAAAAATGGATGACAAAATGTGGCCAATTTGTAGATTTGCGATTATTATCTGCGCACTGCAGTCAGACGCACTGATGTAATCTCAGAGGAACGTGCAGGGCCCTTTCACCTTTCTGAACACGATCAAAGCATCCACCTGCCAGAAATAATATCCTACCTAATGGAAACACAATGAATAAATGCACAACACGAAATTAAAACTAGGGGAAACACACATAAATGTACTGTTAAATGTGATGTTTCCGTGTATGCTTGCACTGCATTCATATACGATATACAGTTATTTTCCCATTCCTTTAAGGGTGTTGTATAGATGGCATAAATAATACGAGTTATTTAACGTCACATTGTATCCTTGTATATGCTACGACCAGAAGAGCGTCCGTGTCTTACATCCAATTATGTTAACTCTTACCGAATTATGCCTATATAGATGGAGAGTTAAACCTGGAGAAACGCAAGTCTCAGCCTGACATCTTCCATACGACCCGCAGGCAAGGTAATCTCATCAATTTCACGCCGCGTATGAGATTCTACCATAGGTCGACCACTAACCTGGGTGGAAATGGGCAGTTACACATCCTTTTGGTTTTTATTTCAGGCAGCAAAGAGCCTGGGAAATATTTTCAGAAATCTAGTTGAACTCATTAAGAGCTCAATCATTCCCAATTCATTCCCATTATTCTCAATGACTTGTGACAAAAAAGCAGTTGTCCGATGACACCAAGTTCACCAAATATGGCCATGTTTCTTCTCTTCGTAAATAATATCAAAAGTGGCAACATGGTCCGTGTTGGAAGATGCTGTTGAAAAAACACGTTAGTGCAGAGGCAGGAGCTGTAACGGACATAGCGACCTGGCTTCAGAATAGATTAAAATATTTACTGACCTGTAAAGGACGCTGTATACCGCGCAGGTTTTCCACAGATGAAAAGAGAGAGAAGCAAAGAAATGGATGCGCCGGTGGCATTTACAGAAGTGACAGACTGACAGTGCGGAGCTGTGGAAGGGAGGGACGCACTGCTGCTACTGGAGGAGTCGCACTGAAGAGGGGAGCGCAGGGTGCACGCGCGCACGGGCACGGGCCAAACAAAGGCGACTTCTCTGCCCTACTGTAGGCCTATGTGAACAGCTCACAGCTTCCGGGTCCATGAGGTGTCACGAGCTGCATAGATTACACTCACTCCTACCTTATTCTGGGTTTGAAGCACCATGGATACGTATACCATTATCATTATTATTATTAATGTAGTTATTATCATTATTATTATTATTATTATTATTACTTCTATTATTATTAAAAAATATTATTATTATCATTTCATGTTCTATTATTTCAATCATCTCATCCACCAGACGTCTCAGTGTTTTAAGTCTAAGCCGTATAAATGTGGGAGGTCCCTTGCAGCACAGTCTTTTGTATTTCTTTGACATTGACCCTTTTTGCTTCTTGTTTAGACTATATATAAGATAGAGAACCGTTATCACATACAGATTATTTTAACACATTTGTTTAGTATTTGTTTTGAGATAATAACTGATTTACCTATAACATTATCATCATCAAATCTTTTTTTGCTAAAAACAAAAACAACGACTCTCTCTCTTTCTCACTAACTCACTCACTCACTCTCTCTCTCTCCCTAACTCCCTCTCGCTCTCTCTCTCTCTCTCTTTCTCGTGAATCGTGAATCGAAAGGCATTGATCAATTGCGACGTCATATTTTGAGAATTGTGTATAAGAAGTAGTAGTACTATAATAAAAAACCTGCTTCGAGAACCAAAGCATCACATAAAGTAGCAACTAAGCCTGTATTGTAACTTACACCACAGCTGACAGAAAAAAATCACTTGGCAAATCCGACCGGTTTCCCTTTGGAAGGTAAAAGAGGAGGACGCTGAGCTGAGCATCCACTCTCATGTGAATCTGCAATAAGGAAGGGCCTTCAATTTGATCATGTTTTTGTGATCCGTCACTTAGTGGAATTAATTGAATTAACAGGCTAGAATTAATAGGCCTACCAGACATGCACTATCAGCATTCATTAAGCATTACATTGCGCATTAATCTATTATTGACGAAAACAGAACCGTATTTGTGTAGTTGGCCTATTTATTTACCCGTTGATTCGGGGTGGGTAAGTCTAAATAGAATTTTCAATAACACACAAAATGTTAGATTACATTTATACGACAAAAAAACGACAATAGGCTAGTTAGGCCAACATGTGTAGTCTGTGTAGTTCCTTTCCAATAAGAGAGGTGGGATGTGTTTGTTAACGCATTTAAAAGGCGACTATTGCTTCTCAGAACAGAAGATATTACTTCACAAGCAGCACATACTGTATCACAGCTCCCGATGAAAGCAGAACTTGACATGAGCTCCATGACCAAATCAGGGCGCCTGTGCGCATGCACAACCTGTGGTTGGAGGCGAATAATTGTTCACAGAATCGCATCAAAAACTGCTGTTATTATATTATACTCCATCGCACACACTCAACCCAACCAAATCATTGGCATCGTTGGCACATAACGTCACGTGTGAGATTAAATGCAATCTAACCCCTCCCATTCCAAATAACTGTGCATTAGCCATAAAGCCTCCCTATGCCCACGTCATTATTCGCTGTAAATGCCGTTTAAGATTAGCCTACCTTAATTTCAAACAAAACGATTTCCAAATATCTGCGTTGTTTTATTTACTCGTGTTTATTTCATCACCTTCCACGCCCAGTGCATCCACGCCCCGTCAATTCGCCAAAGACGATGCGCTGTTTTATTGGTTCTTCTTTCGATTTTATTTTAAAATATTAGGCCGCGGTGAGGAGATTTATAAACGACTGCGCTCTTATCTGCTCCCCTCACGTATCCAGGATCACAGAAGCTGATTAAGAAAGAAGTCACAGCCAACGCTGGATTCATAATGATT